TTCCATCAAGCCACCTCCAACTTTCTAGTACACTCAGTCTTTGCGATCAGCCTCCCTCTGTCACACTGTGACCCCCAGGGGCACAGCGACTGGGTCTGTGCCCCCTAAGCTTTAAGAAAAGTAAATGAGGCCCTGACCTCCGGGAGCGGACCTGGCGCTGGAGCTGGGCTGTGGCGTCACCTGCTCACAGAATACCAGCCTCAGACAAGATCGCCCTGCGACCACGACGGAAGGAGACGAGCACGCAGAGCCGCTTCACGACCTTGTATAATCGCAGAGAAGAACAGGGTCACCGTGCCAAGCACAGAAACGCCAAGCACCTGCTCCCAGCTGCCAGGCTGGTGGCCGCCTCGCTCTCATCTTCCCTCCTTCTAGATGAAGTGTATTTTAGGACGCCCACCCAGGGATCCCCCCACCTCCTGACAGCACGCAACCTGAGCACAGCCCACTTTCTCCCCCCACGTCACCCGACACAGCGCAAGACCCGTCCTGGGTCATTCCCACGCCCCGCGGTGCCCGGGAGCGCCGTCTCCCCCAGGAGCGGGACAGGACCCGACTGCCCGACTACAGACTACAGGGCAGTGACGGCTCGGACACCGCGGGCGCTCCTCCCGCCGGGTCCTCAGGGCCCCAACCCCGCTCCACGTCTGAGGGAAGAGTCGCCCGGAGCGCGGGGCGGGAGTGGGGCCCGCGCAGGCCGCCACGTTCCCTCGCCCAAGGCCCGGTGCGCCCGACAGCCGGCCCTGGACTCCGCTCCCACCCGGGCCGCGGCCGCCGCTTCACCTCGTCCAGGTCCACGTAGGGCCCGGCGCCCTCGGGAAACATCTCATCCACCGCCGGCTTCATCTCCTACCCCGCGGCGCTCCAGGATTCCCGGCCCACTTCCGGCCCACCGGCCGCCTCTTCCGTTGCGCGCCCCGCTGCGGCAGGTCTAGACGCCGGAGGGCCGCTGACTCTGTGGTTTCCTCTCTTCCGACCGGCAGGTCTAGACGCCGGAGGACCTCCGACTCTATGGTTCCCTCCTCCCGTGGGTCTGGACGGGAAGGATTGGGCTTGGTCCTGCTTGCGGTGGACCGGGTCTCCCGCCTGCCGTCACCGCACAAGGGAAGCTAGGCAGTGACTTCTTGGTGTCCCGCGGACACAGCTCGGCCGAAAGGGGCTGGCACAGAGGACTGCCCGAGAAATACCTGTTAAAGAATGTGAATGGTCAACAGAGTGAAAAGGCCACTCACGGAGCGAGAGAAAGTATTTGCAAATTCTGTATATCTGATAAGGGGTTAATACCCAAAATATATAGAGAACTCATAAAACTCAACAACAGCAAAACAAACAACCTAATTCAAAATGAGCAAAGGACTTGAATGGACCTTTCTCCAAAGCAGATCTGCAAATGGCCAGTAAGCCCGTGAAAAGATGCTCAACATCACTAATCCTTAGGGAAATGCAAATCAAAACACAATGAGATAACATCTCACACCCGTTAGAGTGACTACTATTAAAACCCCCAGGAAATAATAAGTGTTGGTGAGGATGTGGGGAAATGGGACCCTTGTGCACTGTTGGTGGGGGTGTAAAATGGTGCAGCCACTGTGGAAAACAGTATAGCGAGTTCTCAAAAAATTAAACATAGAATTACCATATGATCCAGCAATTACACTTGTGGGTCTATAGCCAAAAGATATGAAAGCAGGATCTCCAAGAGATATTTGCATACCCATGTTCATAGCAGCATTATTCACAGTAGCTAAAAGGTGAAAGCAACTCAGGCATCCATTTACAGATGAATGGATGAGCAAAATGTGTTATATACTGTACATACAGTGGAATACTTTTTAGCCTTAAAAAGAAAGGCAATTCTGACACATGCTACAACATAAATGAAACTTGAAGACATTATGCCAGTCACAAAAAGACAAATCCTGTATGATTTCACTCATATGAGTTACCTCGAGCAGTCAAATCCACAGAGATAGAGTAGAATGGGGGGTTGCCAGGAATTGCGGGAGGGGGAACATGGAGTTAGTGTTTAATGGGGACAGAGTTTCAGCTGGGGAAGGTGAAAGAGTCTGGAGACAGATGGTGATGATGGGTGCACAACAATGTGAATGCACTTAATGCTGCTTAAGAATAGTTAAGGTGGTAAATTTTATGTTATGTGTATTTTACCATAATTTTTAGAAAAAGAATATAAATGAGAGAGAAGGGAGGACAGGAGAGAGAGGGGAGGGAAGGGGGAAGGGAGGGTGGGGAGGGAAAACATGAGACACTTGAGCTAGACTTTTGAAAGTAAGTAGGCTTAGAGGCTGGGCTGCTAGAGAAATGGGGGTGTGGAGGAGGGGGGTAGCTCCAGGGAGACAGGAATTGAGCCAAGATTGAGGAGGATTGTGGCCTGGGCCAGGCCTGAGTGGACAGTGCAGGGCCCGGGGAGAAGCAAAAAGTGACTGGACGTGGGGTGAGCCTCAGATGTCACGGTGGCATGAATTGCCCAGAAGTACCCGAGTGAAAGTCAGAGCAACGAAACTGTGACTCAGTGGCCACCAACAGACTCCTCTTCTGAGTGGTTTCAAAACATGGAGGCACCCCTTTTCCCATGGAGGGATGAGATCTTCCAGGAGAGTGGGGTCCAGGGCCCACCCCAGGGGACACTGACATCTATGAGGGAGCAGAACCAGGGAGCTGTGTTGTCACAGAGGTGGAAGGACAGTGTGGGTTAGGAGGAGCCCTGAGAGCACTCAGTGAATTTGGGTCATCCGTGGGTGAACGCATCCAGCCCGCATCCTTTTGAGAGTGAAAGGGGCCCTCTTCCTGACTGCCCCAGGACACAGGCTGCGACCGCTGGCTACAGAGGGTGTGTGGTCCCCCAGGCCATCAGCAACCATGGCAGGGATGAGAAGATGGTGGCCATGGGAGGTGCTTGTTCATGGTGAGGAACACAGCAGTGGAGCGTTGCGGGGTGAAGGGGGCTAAGGATGTGGGGCAGGAAGTGGAGGAGTCCCCCACAAGGTCTGGCTGTGAGGCGAAACCAAGACGGGGTGCATAGAAGAGAACTCAGCCTGTTGTGTGCTGAGGTGTACGAGGACGGTCACAGCCAAGTCTGAGTCATCAATACGGGACTGAGGGGCCCCAGGGGCCTGTGAGGTAGGCAGGTAGGGGGTCTGCTGAGGGTGACTTGGGGTGGGGGTTTGTTCCTCCAAGAAGAGAGGGAGGGCAGCTGGGCCTTTTAAGACACATAAATGCACCTTTGTGCCCCCGGCAGTTGAGGGGTGCTGCTGACTCCCAAGAGGGGACACAGTTCTGGTCAGGACACCGCAGGGTCTTCCTGGGAGGGCACTCCAGATTTCAGTCCTTCTGAGCAGCCTACGGAGAGGCAGCTGGGGCATCATTCTTTAATGCTTGCCCAACTGGGAGCGTGGAAATCTGAGTAGGGTGTAAATGTTCACACACACACACCTGAATTGACATGCAGGTCGAGATCATGGAAATTTTACTGTAAGTGGGTGTCTTCTGTCGGCTACGTTTGGTCGAGGCTCAATTGTTCCCAGTGGGAACCTAAGACCAACCTTCATGCCTAGCTATTGTGTGAATCAGGATTTTCTTTTTTATTGCAGTTAATTTACAGAAACCAAATTCAAACCAGCTCAAGGATGGAAAGAAAGAGATAAAGAATTTGTTGGCTTTTCTCTAAGTGATTGGCTGGCCCAACCAGACTCCTCCTCTTGAGCATTTAACCTGGGACACAGGAGAGAACCCACCGGTGGGGACAGGAGGTGGAGGTGAGAGCACAGGAAGCCGCGCTGGAGTGCTCGAGCCAGCGGGGCTGCCCTGGGCACTATAGCCACCACCCCTTTTCCAGGTCCCTCGCAGCCCGGCTGGTGGCTGTGCCCAGGTCCCAGGAGAGTCCCCCCTCTTTTGTCACCATGAAAGCTCTCCTAATAGCCTCCCCGACTGGAGACGACTTGAGGGCGTCTCACTACAAGCAGCAGACGTGGCCTCATTCACCTTTGAGAGCCTGCCAAACCTCTTGGACCTCACGCAAGACGAGCCCACTTCCCACCACGCATTTCCACCTGAAGAGAACATGTGATGCACAAGTTTCACAAGACCCTACGTGTTTCTTTTTAGTGTAATAGTACAAATACGAGTATCTGTAGTTAAATGGATAGTATTTTCTATCATCTTATTTTAAAAGAAAAGCTGGTTGCAGCTGGTGAAATCAGTTTCTTCACCATCTGCTGGGTGTGACCTGCAGGGTCTCCAGTGTGCATGCTGCCTGTGGGGCTCACCACGTGCAGAGCGACCACTGCGGTGTGAGGACGGTCCCTGCGACACCGTCTGCGCTACCTTCTCGTCCTTCCTCTCTGTCTGGAGTGTCCAGGGCGGGCAGCCCCATCCCCTCCCGCGGTCCCCTTGCAGACCCAGCACGCCCTGCCCTTGGCCTTCCTCACAGATGGGGCTCCTCTGTCCTGGTGTGAACTGCCCTCAGGAGTGCGCCGAGTGTGAGGGGTGGCGGCCCAGGCAGGGCCTCCAGCCCAGGGTTGGCAACTGGGGGTCTGGTTGCTGCCCAGCTTAGTGGCCAAGGGCAGGGGCCCCAGGGCAAGGCTGCCTGGATGGGATCTGGGTCCCGTCAACAAGTCAGGCAGTTACCTGGCATCTGTTTGCCTCAGTTTCCCCACCTACACTCCGGAGGACCTGCAGTACCCCTTCTGGGGTTGTTGTGAGGATTAATGAGAGGGTGAACTTCGTGTCACCTTTATGAAGCAGCAAGCCCCAAGCCAGAGCAGTTGTTGACGCTCTGTGGACAGAAATTGTGCACGTACTTCTTAAAGAGGTGCTCACTAATAGCACCTCACTAGTAGTCAAAGGTGTGATCTGTCAGATGGGAAGTAAATGGGTCCTGTTTCTTGAAAAAACCCACAAGCGTCTGTTGTGCATCTGAAGTCAAGAGTTTATTGAATGCGAGGCCAGGGGGCCCCTGCCCGCCCCAGGGCACCAGGCTCCACCCTCACTGCTCCTGGTCGGGGCTGTGGAAGCCCAGGGTGGACCCCAGGGGGAAGTGAGCGAAGAAGGTGCGGGCCATGTCCTCCACCTGGGGGTAGGCGCCCAGGGCCTGGAAGTACTGCACGTAGTTCCAGAAGTCAGAGGTGGAGAAAGGCCAGTAGGGCATGGCCGGCAGCTCCGCATAGGGGTCTGAAAGACACACGACAACCTGCCTCAGGGGCTGTCCCCTCTCGTCCTGCCCCACGGATGCCTCGGGCTGGTGGAGGTGCCCAGCAGCGCCATCCCAGTGAAGGGACTCTCCCAGCTGGGAGCAGGGCCTCGGCCATCCTGGGTCCTCCGTGGAAGTACCCCAGAGCCTGGTCATTGGAGCAACAGTGGGGGATGACCTAGGCCCTGCCCCTCGGGACAGAGGAGGGGGTGGAGGACAGGGAGGGAGACGTGGGGTGTCCTGGTGGGATGTCAGAGGAGACTACAGCCCCCAGCCCTGGAGTCCGGACACTTCTGCACTGAGGTAGGACTCGGGGTGGGAGGGCCACAGAAACGAGTCCATTCTGGGGGTGAGAATGTCAGGGTCCTCAGGGGCTTGGAAGGTCCCTCCTGCCCAGTGTGCCCTCGGGTGGCTGGAGGGCAGGGCCCGAGGAAGAGGCTCCAGTCCCTCTGCCTGCGCCCAGCCTCGAGCCGACCCAGGGCTCCCACTTCATCTGCTGGGATAAGAAGCCAGCTCCCACCCAGCTTCCTCCTCTTCCCCCACCCCCACCCGACACACACACATGCGCGAGGGAGAAAAGAAATGGGAGGAAATACAATACCTCCCTTCTCCTGCACAGGTTTGGCCCCTGCAAAGGAAGAGGAGAGCAATAACTCAGGAGGGCCCCCCAAGGCAGGACCGCCACACAAGCTACCTGAGCGGGGAGACAGGGGGATGGAGACAGGGGACAGGAATGGGGAGGGGACGACGGGAGAGCAGAGGGGAGAGCACAGGAGGACGGAGCAGCCCCTCACCTGCCAGAGGCCCCAGCAGGAGGCAGAGGGCCACCCCGGGCACCAGGCAGGCCTCCATCTTCCCCAACCAACCGACGCTGCTCAGGTCCACCTGCAGCAGGAGGAACGCAGAAGGGTGAGACCACCCGCCCATCAGGGCCCCAGCAGCTTCCCACCACGCCCAAACGGGCGACTCCTGGGAAGACAGCTCTGGTGAGAAGACAAGTTCTCGGTGTTTTCACAGCAATTTCAGTTTCAGTGGCTTCACACCATTATTCTGAGGTGGACTCGGAGATTTAGCTGGCCTTATTTAATGTTAACTATTTGAGAAGCAGCACCCCCCTCCTCCCGCTCTGTCCGAGGGCACAGTCTGCCTCCTGAGGTTACCTTGCTGTCCGCTCAGCCCCAGCCCGACAGCTGATGGGCGTCTGCCACCAGCGCACAGGTTCCTCCTTATAAAAGGCTGGGGACCAGGAGGGAGACGTCGCCTCCTGAACCGTCAAACTGAATATTTCAGCGACGACCAGAGGACAGTGGGCTCCTGTGACCCTGCTGGCAGCTGAATCACAGCAGTCCACTTTGCGGAATCTGATCCAAAGTTCAAATTGGGAGAAAAACATCTTTGCACAGGCCACTTCTAAGGTTTTTAGGACTGGATTCAACATTGGTACTGGAAATAAACCCAGTTTCCTCTCCACAGGAGAGAAAGACGTTCTAAGTCTCATATTGGGGCTGAGATCGCCCCCTCCAGGAGCAGGGTAACCGCAACGCTGCCCTGATGGGGACAGGCGGGCAGGACGGGAACCTCAGGAGCCCCTAGCAGCCCTGGATCAGCGGCCCCTGCCAACAGGACACAATCGAGCAGAGTCGCATGCGGGAAGTGTGGGTGTCCAGCCCCATTTCTCTCCAGCGCCTTCCTGCTTATGCGTCATGATTAAGTCTTTGGTCGAGAGGCAGCAGCTCCTCCAGCCACAGGACACCATCGGTGACACCAAGGATCTCTGGGTCAGGCCACTCTGATGTCTAAGTTCCACATGATTCTTCTTAAAAATCATTTCTTCCTCTAGCTGATTTGTGAGAATTTCTGACCAGGTCCCAGTTTGGTCCATGAGAAAGCTTCTCCTGAGCAAAGGAGACCCTGGCCTGGGGTGGAGTGAGGCTGGGCAGTGGGGTCATCAGGAGCCTGGGGTGCACAGATAAAATACAGGACGCCCCAATACGGAAAAAGTATTCATTGATTATTTGAAATTCTAATCTAACCCGGCTTTGTAGTGTTCTTGTTCAGTGGGATCCCAGAGCAACGGTTCTCACACTGTATACAGATTGCCTGGGTGTCCTGTTAAAATGCAGTTCCAGTTCAGCAGGCTGGAGGGGAGCCTGGGACTCTGCATTCCTAACAAGCTCCCAGGTGATGCCCATGCTGCTTGCCCCCAGAGCACGTGTAGGGTAGCGAGGCATGGGCAGGTTCTCAACCCAGGCGGTGTCAGAATCACCTGGGAGATCTGGTGTCAGAATCATCCAGGGGACATGTTAGAACACAGATCCACGGGCCACCACCTCTCAGAGCTCTGATTCAAGAGCTCAGGGATGGGCCCGGGACCCTGTATTTCTCTCAGGTCACCAGGGGTGCTGAGCAGGTCCAGGGTCAGGCTTTGAGAGCCGCTGTCTAGAACGAGCTTCTTAATCCTGGCTGCACATCGGGACCACCTGCAGAGCTTCTAAGTAGTTGGGATTTCCAGCCCCCAGCCGCCTCCTAACACAGGATTCTAACACAGTGGGTCTGGGGTGGGGCCAAGGTATCACGTTTGGGAAAGCTCCCCAGTGATTCTGCTCTGAAACCTGGTTAACTACCACTGCTGGGAGGGGAGGGGGTTGGTGGATCAGGTCTCCTGCTCCCCCAGCCCCTCCCCCTGCCCTGCACAGGGCTCTCCTGCAGACACTCCTCTGAAGGCCCCGCCTGCCTGGGGTAAGAAGCAGCTCTGGTTCACAAGACGAGTCTTAGTGGCCAAAGTGGACAAAGGTTCCCCTGTCGGCCTCCTGTGCTAACTGGGCGGGGAGAAGTGGTGAGACGCGGGGCCCCTCCAGCAGTGAGGGAAGGGAGCAGGACATGGTGGCTGGCCTGCGGAGCCTTCCCTCAGAAGGGCAGTGCCCCTCTGCTGCTTCGCCTGGACCAGGTGAGGCCTGGGCACGTCTTCCGAGGCCAGCACCTCAGATGCTCTGATGAGGCGGTCTCAGGGCGCCCCCTGCCACCCAGCTCAGGAACACCATGTGTGGCCTCCTGCTCGGCCCACCTTGGATCTCCTGGAAGGGCAAGCAGGAAGCCTTTGGTCACAGCCCTCTCAGCTGTCCCAACACAAGCCAGATGCTTGTTCATTATTAAGTCCTAAACCCACAGGTCCTCCCGCACACAGGCTCCCCTGCATCATACCTAGATGTTCCTCCTCCTTGACCTCCTCCTGGGGCTGCCATCAGCTCGGCCTCCACCTGTGGCTTTGATCTGCTTCTGGAAACATCCGGGCTGCTCACACAGTCCAGCCTGGGAACCTCAGCCCTGGCTGCTGGCTTGCTCCAGGGTACCCCAGGGTGTGCCCGGCTTCAATGCTGGGTCCTCACTCACTGCCCCACTCCAAGCCTAGGAATTTTGCCTCCCCTGGAGCCTTGGCCATCTCCCAGCCCATGGTCACTCTGTCCCACATCCTCAGTACCAGAAAGTGACACTGCCCCCTGCTTGGCTGTGTATTCTGGCCACTTTCCTTCCGAGCCTGTGCTCCTTGAGAGCATCTGAGTGTCCCAGGCCTGGAAAAGCTCCTGGCGCCGGGTCGGCAGGGCTGGGTGAGAGCGCTGACAGCCTGGACACGTGGGTCAGGGCAATGCTGGGCCAGGTTCACCTAGTTAGTGTGGAAGCCGAGTCCTGCAGCCGCTCACCCAGCTGTCCCTGTGTGTCTGATCCAGGGCCTGGCTGTGCTGTCCTTCACTCCCCCCACAAAACCTGCGGACTCACCCAGGGCCCCCTGAGGAGCAACCCCCTCTGCCCCCAGAGGTGAGGGGACATCCCTCACCTGTTCTGTTCCCATACCCACAGGTTCCGACTGTACTCGTCATTTTAAGAAAAGGATTTAATTAAACGTCATGGAATCTAACGAACATGAATAGTTTCGTGCTTGAAAACCAACGTGCCTTGGAAGGGCCCCTTGAGGTGAACATGCCAGAAACTACTGTCAAGTTAGTCGTGGGTTTGACAGCTCAGAAAGAATGGAACCAAAGTCGTGAGACTCTAGACGGACCTGCCTTCATATCCCTGCGTTCTGAGGATATCTAAACCCAAAATCATGGACAGCACATCCCAGGAGTGGGCTCCAGGGGGCGCCATTCTCACTGGAATCACTCAGCTGGGTCCCATAAGGCGGATTATGCCAGAAGAATAGATGGTCAAAGACTGGCCAGCGAAAGTACGGTGTAGATTTGAAAGCTAAGATGTCTAAGTCCCATATGATTCTTCTTAAAAATCCTTCCCTCCTTTAGCTGATTTGTGAGAATTTCTGACCAGGTCCCAGTTCCGTCCATGAGAAGGCTTTTCCTGAGCTGAGGAGACCCTGGCCTGGGATGGAGTGAGGTTGGGGAGTGGGGTCATCAGGAGCCTGGGGTGGACAGATAAAATACAGGATGCCCCGATACAGAAAAAGTATTCATTGATTATTTGAAATTCTAGTCTAACCGGGTGACCTGTATTTTTATTTGCTGTATCTGGCAATCCTATGCGGCACAGAGCCATGTGGTCCCCCCAGCCCTTGGCTCCGTGTCCAGGCTCTGGCCAGGACCCAAGGCTTTGGGCACAGGCTGGCGGTGAGAAGGGGCTCCAGCCCTGGAGGTGGAGCAGGCGCAGGAGGGCCTTTTCCGAGATGCTTCCTCATGGAGCTGTAGGGTCACGATCATTACACAGGACAGGCAGTCGTTACACAGGTGGGCTGCAGCCCTGAACTCCCCAGTCAGTGAGGCTCCTGGCTCAGCACACCTTGGTTTCCACAGCAGTCTAGAGCTGGTCCACTTGGGCTCACCACAGAGAGAACCTGATGGATCTGAGAGGTGGGGTAGACCACTGCTGGCAGAGCCCCCCTTCTCTCAGGCTTGGGGCCGGAAGACCTCGGGGCCAGGGATGGGGACATTGGTGGGGGGCAGTGCCCCAACGGCCCATGACTTGGGAGGGAGAGGCTTTGGCATTGGATGTGAGCTATGATGGAGACCACGACAGGCCCACTGTGCCCCCAGGCCTCCAAGGCTCCTGAGTGCCGGGAAGTACTACCTGGGAAGGCAGCCCAGGGCCTCAGCACCGAGGAGGTGCAGGAATCATGTCCAAGGCTGTAGGTGTGGCCCTGGCTGGGTGGGAGGAAAGGGACCTGGAGGGAGAGGCCCGTGGTCCCCGCCCATGAGAGCAACAAGAGATGAGAACGTGGGGGCTCCCCATTCACCCTCCTCCCAGGTACCGAGAGCTTCCCAGGGTCACACCCCGACTCTGCAAGACTGAATCAGTGTCGTCTTAGTGTCTGTGTGTGTGCGTGTGCGTGCACACTGTATTTGGGAAGTGATCCCAGGGAGCAGGGATGGAAGACTGGGTGGTTCCGTGACCAGAAGCAATGGGAAGCTGGAACACAGAGGTATTGTCAGCCTGGCACTGCTGCGGGCAGCTGGTGCCCACCGGGGTCTTCTGAGACCTCAGACCAGAAGGAGAAGCATTTACCCATTGTCTTTTGTCTCCATTGGTTCAGGTTGCCCCATGAGGGTTAACTCCCCCCACTCCAGGTGCAGGGTGCCCACTGGGCTCCTGCAGGCGTTGGGCACTGGGATCTCAGAGAACTGGGGGGCAGTGGGGATGGGCGCCACAGGTGAGGGAGCTGCCGAGCAGATGAGGCCTGGGCAGAGCTCATGGCTGCGGCTGAGGCTGAGGCAGGAGCGTGGGAGGATGAAGTGTTCTCGGAGCTGCCCTAGGACTCATGTATTTCTCAGTCCTCCAGGTACACATGTCCCCTGAGGACACAGAGCCCAGCGTCCCAAGGCTGGACTCGGAGCTGAACCCAGGTCTAT